GGGCAGAGGGTATCTGGGAACTCTCTGTACCTTCTGCTCAGTTTTACTGTGAACCTAAAACTGCTCTAAAAAATAAGTATATTAAACAAATCATCCAGACTCATAATAGACATACAAATTAGAACTGTTGAATATCATCCTCCACCATCTGATTAGCAAAAAATGGGAGGTTTGATAACATACTGTTGGTGAGGCTGTGGGAAAACAAACACTTGCTTACTCCACTGATAAAACTGTCAGTTTCTATAACCCTGGTGGAAGACAGTGTGGCAATGACTCTCAAAATTAGAAATGTATGTACCCTTTGACACAGCAGTTTCACTTTGAGGAACTTATTCTGAGGATGTACTCATTCATGTGTGAAATCATGCATGAACAAAGGTGTGCATTGCAATGATTTTTATGGTAGCAAAGATTGAAAACAGATAAAATATACATCATTAAATAAATTATAGTTCAAACAAAACTCCCCTAAGAATAAGACAGATCTTTATGTACTAAGTCAGAAAGTTTCCTAGATAAATAGAAAAGGAAGAGGCAAAACTGCATGGTATCTGTTCTCTTTAAGGTTAAGAAAGAAACACAAGAAGATATATTCACATTCCTATGTATTATCAATATAAAGAATATCTCTGAAAAGATACACAAGAAACTAATAATAATAGTTACCTACTGGGAGAGTGTGAGAATTGAACAGATGACAGAAGGACAGAAAGGAGAATTTTCTCCGTACACTTAAAATTTTTTTTAACCATGTGAATGTATTACACATTCAATAAAGTAAATATATAAGTATATACCTGCAAAAAATATATATAGCCGATGCCCAAGTCATAAATATATACACCACCTCTAATGAAATGGAAGAATATCCCAAATATCAATTTGCTTTTGTTTGAATTTTATAGTTGGAATTTTAAATGATTTAAATAGAGATATGCATGTATGCATATGCACACATGTGCACACACACATATGCAGGTATTGAGAAAGGATAAAAGCATCCTCTGACATCTGGGAACTGGCGTGGTACTAACACTGCTGGGCCTTAGAGTTGCTATGAGCTGGTCTGACATTCACAGCTATGTTTGAAGTTTTCCTGCTGAACTAATTCACAAAACATCAACATCAGACGAGGCCACTCTGTGACCATGATGCATAAAGACAAAAACAAGACCACTTTGTAATCATGTCTGAACACAAAACGTGAACTCTGTCAAAGTCAAAAAATATCACACATCCTCCTACCCTGGCTAATGAGAGTGATGCTGCTTTAGCCTTGCTCTAGTTTTCCTTTCTACAGATAGAACTGTCCCCAGTTTCTAGCAACCAGAGTGAACCCTCTCTTCTTTGTACCCTTCTCAAAATCAGCCAACCAAAGCTCAAGTTGCAAATGAGCCCTTTCTAACACCCTCTTACTGAGATGCCCTGCAGTTCCCCACAGTGTGTCTTCTCCTCTGCTGCAATGAAGTATAAAGCAAACCTGTGCAACTACAGGAATGTACTCGGTGGTATTTGGCTGAAGGGCATGGACAATATATGTGAAACAAAGATCAGATAATTTCCAGTTTAGCCTGGCATTTACAAATTAGACTCTGCTATAGGCAAACCTGGATTCAAACCTATCTGTAGCCCAGGCAGCCCAAAAACCAGGGACAAACAAGCATGCAGACAACAAAGTCAGGTAAATTGACTCCTTACTCTGAGGGAGACTGCAGTTCAAGTAGTGTGTTTCCTTTTTACTGAAATAATTTCAAATGAAAAAGTTTCCAATACACTGATTTTAGAAAACAAGATTTTTCAGTGAGGAAGAAAGCAGTAGTCATTCCAGAAGTGGATCATTATGACATTTTAGCTACAGTGTGTTCTTGGGAGAAACAATAGTTCTTGCCAACTTTGCAGCTAGCTTTATCTGTGTCCGTCCCCTCAACTCCAACCTTGTCTGCCACTTTTACTTTCTCAAAGTTCATCTATGCCTCTTGCTATGTACTTTCACACAAGTACTTTGACCTCTTATACTTTAGCTACCTCAGCTGTAAACTGGGGATACTAATAATACCTACTATACAGGGTTTTTTTAAAGAATTAAATGAGATAATGTTTGTAAAGAGTCTGATAACATGATATATGGATATAGTACATACTCCAAAAATTGTCTGTCTCCACAGAGATACACTTCCTAGGTCAGATGAAATGTTTCTCTTGGATATGTACATATATATCCTGGTTGTCTAGGCTATGAAAACAGATCCTGTCTTACGAGAGCCTGTTAGATTTCATCCTGTTGTATGACAGTCCATTTATTGAGTGCCTAAACTATTGGGAAAATAAAGATGAATAAACAGTAATAACCACCCTCAAGAAGCTTACTGTTAAAGAGAAGCACTATTCACTTTGTGGGGGGCAGTCAGGAAAGAAACTTCATTACACAAGGAAAAGTTCAGCCCTTAGAGCCAGCAGTGCAGCCTGAAAGGTGAAGAGTTTGACTCAGGGAAATTACGGAAGCAGGATTCTTTTTTTTTCTTCCAGTTTTATTGAGATATAATTGACATATAACAGTATATTAGTTTTAGCTGTACAAATACAACATAAATAGTATCCTGATTAATAAAATTTTAGCATATCCTCCAGGTTCAATAGCTACTGCAATTTACATAATATGCTGTCGTAATAATGTGCTATTAGAAGGAAGGAAGGAAGCAAGGAAGGAAGGAAAGAAAAAGAGAAGAAGGGAAAAGAGGAGAGGAGGAGGGGGAAGAAAGGAAGAAAACTATAAATACAAGCCCAGAGGTGGGCTTTCTTTGTGATGTGCCAGAGGATAGAGCCCTTCTGAGCTATGAGGACTGAAAAATATGTATTTGATCCTACCTGTAACATTTCTGAACCATTTTATCTTGAGCATCTTCTAAGACCTTTGATCTTTTTCTTTCTGTTCTGAACTGTACATAATTAAATCTGGATAACTAGCCATCTAATCCTCTAATCCTAGTTGCATTCAAATTTAGCCAGTAAAGAATATAAAATGCATCATGATTGTTTAAGCATAAGAGTGTCAGTCTCTGAATATACATCCTTGAACAAAAATCATCAAGAAAAAAATTTTTTCAGCCTTATAAATGTTCATATCCTTTGACTTAGTAAAAATTTATCTAAAGAAAAGAATTCCAACTATGCAAAAGCTTTTATGACAAAATGTTAACCAAAACACTGTTTATAATGGTGGAGAATTGATAACAATCTAAAGATACAACTATAGAAGATCTATTAATTATGATACTTCAACTGGATAGGCTATTATGCAGCCATTTTAAAAAATGGTATTTCTGAATAATTTATAAGCCCCTAGAAAAAGCTTATATAAAATTGTTCTTTAAATGCAGAAAATAAAATTGGATATAAAATATGGTCACAATAACAACAAAAAATCTAATCTTTAAAAAAAAAGGATGAGAAAAAAATTGATGAAAATGTTAATAAAGCAATAGAGATTGTCTTTGGTTGGGCTGGGATTATTGTCCCTCATTCTTCCCACATTTTTGTATTTTTGCAACTTTTCATAATAACACATTGTATATTTGCCTCTTGATGTTTCTTCATCTGTTCTTATTATCCTTATATAACTCTTAAAGCCCTGAGCAATGACACCCCTAAGCAGCTGTGCTGTGGAGGAATGAGTACTGTACTAAAGAAATGGAGGCTAGAACTCACCATCCTAAGAACTTAAGTAGGATGCATTCAAAGCCAATGAATGTCAGACATGTTTTTCATGTGAAATGTAAACTCCAGAGGGAGTTGGAAGGGGAGCCTCTAGACAACGACCATGTAGCAGGCTTATAAAACAACGCATCTAGATTGGAGGTGTATGAGGACAGAGGATTCTAGGAGGAGCACCTCCAGGAAAGCTTGAAGATCATCAATTTTACTCTGTAAAAGTCTGTAATGAGAAGCTACTGGAGCATATGGGAAGAATTAGCAACAGATGTATAGAAAATTGAGCAAATTTTAAAATGAAACAATAATTAAATCTGGAAAAAACAAATATATATAAGAAAAGAAAGACAATTTATGTATGATACATGCTTCAGTAGTAAATTATACTTAGTTATATTGAATTAACTAAACTTATTTACATAATTGTATTGGAAGAATGGGAGGAGTAGAAGAGATTGGTTGAAGACTGCTAAATCTCTGTTCTAATTACAAAATAATTATGACCGAAACAGATAAATCAAGAAATAACAGTATTAGCATATTATTTAAGACTATGGACTTGAGGAAAAGAAGAACAATTAAAATAGTTGAAAAACTGCACTAAGGAGCAGGATTGGGGGCGAAGAGAGATGAGATAGGAATGAGGACATTACAACCATTTTAGAATTGCATTATTTGACTTTTTAACCCCATGCATCCATTTTTAAAGGTTTTATTTTGTTTTTTTATTTTTGGGGGTAATTGGATGGGTGGGTTTGTTCGTTTGTTTGTTTGTTTAAATGGAGGTACTGGGGATTGAACCCAGGACTTTGTGCGTGCTAAATACACACTCTACCCCTGAGCTATACCCTCCCCTGCTGAGTTTTTTTAAATTAACCACAAAACCACAATGAAATGCTACCTCATAGTCATGAGAATGGCTACTATTAAAAGAACAAAAACAAAAGCAGAAAATAACAAGTGTTGATGAGGATGTGGAAGAATCGGAACCCTTGTGCACTTTTGGTAGGAAAGTAAAATGGTACAGCTGCTATGGGAAACATTAAGGTGTTTCTTCAAAAAAATTAAAAATAGAATTACCATATAATTCAGCAATTCTACTCCTGGGTCCCAAAAGAATTTAAAACAGGGTCTCAAAGAGATATTTGTGCACACATATTCATAGAAGCATTATCCACCATAGCCAAATGAGGGAAGCAACCCACGTGTCCATCAATAGCTGAACGGATAAACAAAATGTGGTATTTATGTACCATTATATATTATTCAGCTTCAAAAAGCAAAGAAGTGGGTGTATAGCTCAGTGGTAGAGCACATGCTGGGTGTGCATGAGGTCCTGGATTCAATCCCCAGTGCCTCCATTAAGGGATTAAAAATAATAATAATATAAATTTTAAAAAAAACAAAGAAATTCTGATACATGCTACAACATGGATGAATGTTGAAGACATCATACTAAGTGAAATCAGTCACAAAAAGACAAACACTTTTGTATGATTACACTTATACAAGGTACCTAAAGTAATCAAATTCATAGAGACAGAAAGTAGAACCATGGCTGCCAGGAGCTGGAGTGGAGAGGGAATAGAGAAGTTGTTGTTCAATGAATATAGAGTTTCAGTTTTGTAAGACAAAAACGCATCCAGGAGATTGGTTGCACAATAATGTGAACATAATTGGTTTCTATGAGGCAGGAATGGAAGGGGGAGAACATCCCTCGAGCCCTGTTGTGGAGAGTAGGGATCTCCTCCACCCCCACCCCATGTCCTGGCCACCCCTTGGTCCCACCCTTCACCTACCCCAACTTACCTGTCAATGGAGACTTCCGCGGTCAGAGACTTACTGCCTTCCTGGAGTTTACTTAAAAATGGTTAAGATGGTAAATTATGTGTTATGCATATATTACCACAAATTTTTTTAAAATTTTAAATTAACCCAATTAGTTGGAATGCAGACCAGACTGCATATAATTATGACATGTGCTTTGCTATTAGACTCCCTTGTGGAGTATAACAATCCTCGGCTGGGCTCTGCAGTGCAACTGCACATCTTAAGATATCAGGAAATGATAAAGATAGCCCAAGAGAATGTAATATATTTTCCCTCTTAAGATTAAGTGATGAATATTGCTTATAACATCTGACCAAATTTAGACTATAAAAGGAGGTAGTTCTAGTCATCCTCAACTGGAGCAGTGACATTAATCCCTAGAAACTGGTTTGGCATCAAGCTAAAATCAATGTCAAATTAATTGATACATATATTCAGTATTCATTCAACAAATGTTAACTGAGCACTGTCTATGTGCCAGGCACTGTGCTGGATACTGAAACTACCTTTTAATTCACGAGCCAGCCTCAGGAAGAGAAGGGGACCGAGTCAGGAAGAGCAGAGTCTGAGTGCCTATAGAGTACCAAGCACTGTGGAGCTTTATATACATTATCACCACTAAGCTGCACACCACGAAGTGTTTTTCATTAGCTGTCAAACTATAAGCCAATTATTTTATGAAGTAAGCATCATAACTGTCTATGATATTTTTTTCAGTCAGCATAGAATGCATTTGTTAATTATTGAAGAATATATATCTAAGCATGCCCCATCTTTCAAACCACATTTACGATAATACCTTTCTAGCTGACACTTTCTGCTTCAATAATTTTCTTTCCAAACTCCCATAGCCTATTGTTTATCATTCTTTTTCACACTTTTCAGCTTTATAGTTTTCTAAGTCCACTTTTCATATTCCCACTGGTTTGCAGAGATCAGGGGTTGATGTGTTCACTACAAGTGTTTAATCTCACATAGAGTGACTAACCAGTTTGCCCCCGGACTGAAGGAGTTCTCAGGTTGTGATTCAGTTTTAAAACCGAGAAAGTGTTTGGCAAACTCAGTTTTAACAGTGTAAGTCCCTGGTCCTGGGAACCCCCTTAGTCCTGAGGTTGGTCATCCTAAATCTCAGTTTTCTCTTCTCATGTCTATTCTTGATTGTGTGTGTGTGTGTATGTGTGTGTGTACTTATATACAGTCAAGTGTTCAGCTGAGCAGGAGAGAGCTGAGCCGCCAGATGTTCAGAGTGCCCCATGAAAGCAACAAGCTAAAATGAAAGTAAGAGTCAAGTCTTTCATCACTTACTGCGGTGGTGTAAGCAAGAGGCTAAAACCAGAGAAAGTTCTGACTCCCGCTCCTTGCATTTTCCCCTGTGGGACATCGCAGGTCAGATGGATCAGCACAGATTTGGGGTTGGATGAGTAAGGGGGTTTAAAGGAGGGCTAGCAGTGGGAAAGTACTGAGTACTGAGTCAGAGTGGAAAAGTGTTAGTACTGAGTCAGTAGGAGAAAGTATCTTCACGGTTTCTCCCTCTCCTCTCTCCCACCAGTAAGGAAGCCTAGGTAGAGGGCCCAAGGAAAGTCCTAGAGAAAGAGCACTCCAAATGAGGCTCCTGGTATAGAAATTCAGCTATGTAAGACCATGGGCGGCTATGGGTCCTGAGCCCTTGACTAAAACTCCCTTTGGAGATTGCAGTGAACTGCCTGTGCATCAAGTCTAGTGAGGACAGTGCTCCCCCATGAGGCCCACCACATAAAGGCTTTGCAGTTGCCTATAGTTGAGCCTGAAAAATCACACATCGGTTTTTGGCAAGGAACTGGAATATATCTCTCTTTCTCTGAACAACTCAATAGAAAAATGGACAGATTATGATCAAATAGGCCACAAAAGAGAAATACTAAATGATTCTTAAACACATGGAATGGTGTTCAGTCTCATTCATAATAAGAGGAAATGCAAGTTGAACATGCATGAAGATCACAATTTTTCACTTCACACTCTGTGATGGTGAAAGAATGGGGAAACAGACATTCCTTTTGCAGGAGGACATATACATCGGTACTGCCTCTACAGAGAGCAATTTCACAACTTGAATCAAAATTACAGATTCAGGTATCTTTGACCAGTAGATACATTCTAGGAATTTATCCTGCAGATAGGCCCACATCTGTGGGAAATGTCATACACACAAGAGTCTTTATTCCTTGCCATTCATTGTTTATAGTAGTAAAGGATTGAAAACCACCTAACAGCAAGGGACTGGTTAAACACAAATATAGTGCATCCATACACAGAAATACTACACAGCCATTCAGAAGATGTATCATTAGGTTTTAAAAGCAAATGTGGAACAGTTGTGTTCAGTATACACAGTTTGTGTGATAGTATGGGGAAAATAACATATTTTTTGTTTGTGTTTAGAAGGATACGTAAGAAACTAATAGCATTGGCTTTCAGAGAGAGAACTAGGTAGCTGGTAACAGATACGGAAAGAGAAATTTCGTTGTGTACTCTTTTAGACATTTTGAATTTTGAATCACTTTGAATGTAAATCAAAATTTAAAGAACAACGACAAGGGAACAAACCAACCACAGAAACATGGGCCCTGGTGTCAGACTGCCTGGGTTAAACCTTTCTCCATCATTTTACCAGTCGTGTGACCTTAGGCAAAAACTGCTTAACTTTTTGTATCTTTCCACATCTGGGAAATGGGTATAATGATAGCAGGGACTTCAGAGAGTTGTTGTAAGAATTAAAAGAGATAACACTGGGTCAAATTTTCAGATCAGTAGCAGAGACTCTGGAGCCAGACTGCCAGGGCTCAAATGCCGGTTCCACCCGTCCTAGGTTGTGTGACCTTGGGCAAGTTATTCAACCTCACTCTTCCTCAGTTTCTTCATTTGGAAATGGGGTTAATAATCAAATCGTGTGAGGACTAAATTAGTTAATATTTATAGAGTGCTTACAACTGCATTTGGAATATATTAAGTGCTATATAAGTGTTTGTTGAAAATTAGATATTTATTTAACACGAGTATTAGTTATTACTTTTAGCTATTATCCAACATTGTTGAAATAAACCCTACTTAGGTTACTTTTTCAGAATTATCTTACTTACCCTCAACCATGCTCCTCTCCTCTCTATACAAATACACTGCATCTGTCATTTGCTCATATTATTCCCACAGTCTGGAATGCCAATTCCAACCATGACTGACAGAAGAATAAAACTGTCTTTCAAGACTCAGTTCAAAGATCTCTTCCTCCTTATCGGTGGCTGCTCTCCCCTGCTAGCTGCCCCATCACAGACCTCTAGTCTGACCTTTTCCTACTTTGGCTGTCTCTCCTCCTGCTCCAGGACAGGCAACAATTCATGCTTGTTGGAATAAATGGATAAATTGAATACTGATGTTTTCCAAGGATCTCAAGAGAGTGAAAGTTTTCTTTTGTGACATGTTTCAACTTCATTTTTATGCCCTAAAGTCTCAGACAGAGAGGAAAGAAAGAACTGTTCAGGGACACTTAAAGGAAAGTAGAAATAGAATACTTTGGAAATTAAAAAGTATTTTTTTAGTGGGGTTTTGGAGGGCTTGGTTTTGGTTTGGTTTTTGCCTTTAATCAACATGGACCTGGCTCCCCCTGCTGGATCTAAAGTAAAACATGGATGGACTTGGAGGGTATTATGTTTAGTGAAATAAGTCAGACAGAAAAAGACAAATACTGAATGATACCACTTATCTGTGTTATCTAAAAAATAAAACAAACTTGTAACTATATTAAAAAAAAGAATCAGACTCACAGATAAAGAGAACAAACTAATGATTACCAATGGGGAGAGGGAAGTGGGGGTGGGAAAAGAGGGGTAGGAGATCAAGGAGTACAAACTGCTATGTATAAAATAAATAAGCTATAAGGATATATTGTACAGTACAAGGAACGTAGCCGATATTCTATAGTAACTATTAGTGGAGTATAACCTTTAAAACTTGGGAATCACCTTTAAAAAGTGGGAATCACTATGTTATACACCTGAAACTTACATAATTTTGTACATCAACTATACCTTGGTTTTAAAAAATCAATTCATTTATGTAAAGGCAGAGAAAACAAAACTTGCAACATACTTAAAATAGTATCTAGAGCTTTCATCAAGGTTCTTATTACTGATGACAGAGTTGTAGCTAAGACATTCCGGCATTCCCATAATGACTGACTACATAACAATTACAGTTACCTCATATATTTAGAGGGAGAGGTGTGGCTTTGAAATCTAAGTCCAGGACCGCAAGCCAGGAAGTCCTGAGAGTATATTCAGCTTTGATGACAACTGCAAAAAGTGGCCTCTGGCAAATAATTTAGCTTGGTTTTTTGTGGTACTGTTAATTTTTACTTTACCATTTGTGTGATAAGCATAAAAATGCTACTAGCGTCTCATTGCCATTGAAGCACTTGAATAATATCAGTCATCATTTGAATACCAAATGTCTCCCATGTGCATAGCAACATTCAGGGCTCCGAGGAACCCAAGAG